ACCCTAAATCCCAAACCTTAAACCCGAAACTCCAGGCCCTCACAACAACGATCCTCTCCGTCTTCTACCGACAAAGCCGAGGAGCAAGATGCCACTGTCCTTGCACTATGTAGCCCGAGTCGAAGCATGGTAGGGTTCAGATTTTAGGGTTTAGGGTTTAGAGTTTAGGGTTAGATTAAGGGGTTTCTTTCAAGACGCTACTATCCAGCGGTCAGAAAGCCTCAGGAGGCGGGCAAAGGTCCAGGGCTGAGGGCTGCGATTTCACGAGAACATCTTCCGTAATATCTGGCGGTACTGCTGAGTCTGCACTGCTAGTCGAATGTAGCTGCAACTGTATCTGTGTCTACGTATTTGTTCGTAAGAGCATATAAGTACAGCTAGTTAGCAGCTAGTTTTCTCATTGTACGTTCGTCGTTTCTTTTCATGTGACAGTATACTGCGCGCAATCAAATTCAAACACACCTCCGTTTCCACAGACTAAAATACAGTACATACGGGGCCAGCGACAGGGCAGCTGCAGCAACGTCCCTGCATGTCTCCGGGCGTTCACTGACTTCTTCTGCAAACCTTGCCCGCTCGTTGAGGCAGGCTTCAACTATGCGGGTGGTTCTCTAAACTTGGGTCCCTTCTAGGGTGCTTTTTTTATAAGGGTGCCGTTCTATATTCGGGACCTAAAAAGGGACCCTAATTTAGAGAACTACCCATGTAAGAGTTTCAGAGGGATCCCGAAGCCCGAAGCCTTTTACCCCGAGGCCCTAAACCCAAAGCCTGAACTCAATTTCAATGCCTGAGGTGGGATCCTTCGTCTAAGGACCCTCGTATGTTGCTGGCATTTGCCAGGTGTCCAAAAACCGACATGCCTGTTCCGAAATGGCTATTGGATAGGTTTAATACGGGTTCATATCTCTTTGTACAGTAGTTCAACCTGTTTTTGAGTAAGAAGGTTCCGGCACCTTCATGGTCAAGATCTCCTTATACCTGCCTTTACACGAAGTTGAGAACGGCTGTGTTTTCGACACAACCCCACCCTCCCGAACCTGAAAACAGGCCTGATAGCATGCTTATAGAGCCCTTATAACATGCGGCGTCGATAGAGTATCCTTATGAAAGCCTTGTCAAGCTCGTCACCGAGACGCTTGAACTTGTAGGGTTAGAGTTTACAGTTCAGCTGGCATGTAGGGTTCAATACTTTTCGGGGGGATTGGTTGCCGCTTTTGGGCATGGGGGGGGGGGAGCATGGCCTGGGCTTCTTATCTTTGCTCAATTGAACGCACAAACGCCTGGTTGAGCGGCGACTCAAGATTGACATGCTCCAGTGTTGCAAGAGTGCGGCAAGACTCAAGTAAACTCCCAAACTTCTAAACCCTGAACTAAACACAAAGCCGTAGGACTTTTTTTGCTGCGCCGACATGCAGCACCGATACCAAAGGCGTTCTGTGGAGAAGTCTAAGCCGTAAATACTGAGCCCTAAACCCCCAAAGCCCTAAACCCCTAAACCCCAAACCCTAGACCCCTAAACCCTAAACCCCTAAACCCTACGCCTTCAACCCTGGGCCGCCAGCCTCATCATCTGGAAGGCCGAGAAGACTGCAGGAAAGCTGCCACACCGTACTTGCAAGATCCAAGTCCTCTGCTTCGCGCTTTGGGTTCTTTGGCCTAAACCCTAAACACCAAAGCTTTCTAGACCTGGAAACACTAACCCTAAAGCCTAAACCTCAAAAAACTACACTTCGGTGTGGAGGTCCCATGGGCTGCTTCGAAGGGCTTGCCGTTTTGTCTTGGCATGATCGAGGACTTAGGGCTTTAGGTTTAGGGAGGAGTAAGGACCTTAGGCTTCGAGAGGGCCAAACACTCAACACATGAATTCCTGGAGCGTGGCCGGGTCTTCGCTGTGATGCTGGGCGAAGTGGGCTCCTAAGGCTTACTACGACAAGACTCTGAAGCCTTACGCATTACGGAAGCAGGGAGCGATTCCTTAGATACTGAGCTTTGGATAACACAACCCTAACCCCCCAGTTACCTACTATATAGGGTACAAGAGCCCCTAAGGCCCTTTGTAGTAGGTACCTGGGGAGTTAGGGCAACCTCAAGGCAATCCGGAACTTTGCAAGCTTGGCGTCGAAACCGATCTGTCCACAGAGTCTGCCTCAGAAGGCAGAACACAATTACCCAATGGCTCCATTGTAGTTCCTGTCTGGGACTACCTATAGGATCCTAAATATACATACATATATATATATATATATAGATATAGATATAGATATAGATATAGATATAGATATAGATATTGATATAGATATTGATATTGATATTGATATATATATATATATATAACCCACAAAAAAAAAAGGAACTACAAGGGAGCCTGTAGGCATAGGACGCTTTGCATGCAGGATCCTGGCTTCGACGCTTGGGCTCCCGGTTTACTTGCTTTCAGGTGCATCCACAGAGACGCCAATATCCCTTAATTAAGGAGTGTATACCTAGATCATATTAGGGATCCCTAGTATTGATTTAAAAGTCTATATCCAACTAAGGGATATTGGCGTCTCTGGGATCGCGGGTCTTCAGGGCCAGGATTCGGGGCAGTTCGGACATCCAGGGACCTAGGACTACAGTTTGGGGTGTGGGGTGTAGGCTAAAGTACAGAAGTACAGAAAGCATGGACCAGCAACTTGGGGCTGTTGAAGCCATGGAAGCCCACGGGTAGCTTTGCGCATTTGAAGCATGAAATCATGGATTCCGTTGCGGATAGCCTTGCCCGCCACTATTTATAGCATCATCCGCAGTTCTGCTGGGTAGCGTCACTCGAAACAAGCAGTCGGGTGAATTTGCTCACCTTCACTCGGAGCTAAACACCCCAACCCAAAATAAAGAGGTCCTGACGAATCCAGACTCCTGTAGATTTGTGCTTCCAAAACGCTGTGCAGCCGGAAACTTCTCGAGCCAACGTAACGACCACAGCTAGTGCAGAAGTGGTGATTGTGACGAAGTCTTGAGGATTCAGTCTTCTGAGCGGTACGTATATGCCTCACTGCATTGCTATAAACTACATACAGCGCGACGCACGATCTCCGGTACATATCAATTTACGCAACAAGCACCCTGCCATGTCCTGGACCGTCCCTGAATTTAGAGGCCTTAAGAAGGGGGTTCGAGGGCATATTGTACTATAATCATAATATAAGGAACTCCCCAAATTTACTACAGGTAATCATATAAAGGTCCCTATGTTACTCTCCCAGTAAGTGGACCAGGAGGCAGAAGAGATCGAAGGACATGGGCTCCAAGGGATTCTCCACAGTTTGAGCAAAGGCCTGAAAATAAAAACGCCGCGCTTCGAAGGTGCAGGAGTTGAGGACTTAGTTGAAGGAAGCTACAGGTGGGAGTATAGGGTATATAGGGCTTCTATAAGGCTTCTATGAAGTATATAGACCTTCTATAAGGCTCTTATAACGGTAACTACCCACCTGAAAATGTCCTAGGCTTAGGTGCCACGGATCCGAAGGGAACCTTGAGAGCACTAGGGAGAACTAAGGATTCGTTACATGGGTTCTATATACCACACTTGGACCCCCTTCCTTAAGATAGAGTTTGGCTTCGGGTTCGGGCTTTACGGTTTATGACTTCACCTCCACACAAAACAAAGAAACAAAATTCGGAGCTGCAACATCACAAATCTCATTTCCTACCCTCCTGTGTTGAGCGTTTAGGGCTTTGGATGCTTAAACCGTGCTGGTCTGGAGCCCCAAATTCTGAACCTTGCAACCCAACAGCCCTGGCAAACCCTAAACCCTAACCCTAAAGATTGCACACCTCTAGCCTCCACAAATCCTACACCATTCTTTTCTGGCACTAAAGCCTGAGGGTTTAGGTTTAGGGTTTAAGGTTTAGCGACCCTAAGCCCTAAACCCTGAACCCCTAAAACCCCTAAAACCCTTAAACCCCTAAACCCTGAACCCTAAATCTCAACCCGAAAGCCCCAACTAGATCCTTCTCAGCACGGGCGCGGATTAGCCCTAAACCCTAGTCCCTAAAAGCCTTGTAATCCAAAAGCCCTCACATACCCTAAACCTGAACCCTAAGTTCGATAAGCCATGCCCCTGAACCTCTAAGACCTTCAACACCCAAACCCTAGGATGCTAACAACCCTAATAAAGACCCTAAAGCCGAAATCCTAAATCCTAAACCTAATGACCCTAATGACTCTAATCATGACCCAAAATCCTAAATCCTACGCCGAATGGCCCTAATGACCCTAATAATAACCCCAAATCCGACAACCTAAATCCTAAACCTAAAATAACCCTAAACCTAACAACCCTAATGATAATGACCCCAGTAACCCTAAAACCTAATAACCCTAATGACCCTAATAGCCCTAAATCCCAAACCTAATAACCCCAATGACCCTAGTAACCCAAAAGCCTTCACCTAAACCCTAAACCCTAAACACTAAAAGAAAAAACATTCCCACGTTCCCGCAAGAGCCTCCGGCGGCCCGGCAAAGCGCCGGAGGAGCCTCCAACGGAAAGCCCTGGGCGGCCGGTGTACGCGGTACCCTAAGGGTTTAGGGTTTAGGGTTTAGGGACCCTAAGGGTTTAGGGTTTAGGGTTTAGGGGCCCTAAGGGTTTAGGGTTTAGGGACCCTAAACCCGGTAAACGTTTAGGGATGAGTTTAGGGTTTTTAATGTGCAGTAGCCAGGGCGTTGGGCTTACGATGGGCTTTGGGTTTGTCTTAAAGTGCAGTAGAAAGGGCTTAGGGGTGGGTTTAGGGTCGTTTTTTTGTTGTTGCCTCCGTTTAGGGTTTAGGGGTGTGTGTGTGTGTGTATATACATATACAGTTATGTATATGTATAGGCATATGTATATGTATGTACACATCTATAGAAAGGGTACCCAAAAGGACTTTCTTGGGGTAGTTCGGGCCTTTTGTATCCCTAACGCTACATGCTTCCCGATAGGTAGGCTTTAGGTCGTTTAAGCAAGACTGTAATCTTTTGGGACCCCTACTGTTTGGTTCCTTGCAATTTCTAGGCTTGGGCATACAGGCTTAACGTATTGCCAACAGCACAGAATAGGTATCCTAATTCTTGGGCTTGAGAGGTACCTGTAGTCTCCATTGTGGTTCCTTTTTGGTTTAACCAATAATATATTAAGGATCTTATGAAGCATCCCCCAAAAGGAACTACAATGGATACTATAGGTAGGTTTGAGTTTCCGACTTAAGGCTCAAGGCGTTGAGGTTCGGGTTTTGGGTTTGGGGTTCAGGTTTAGGCCCTTCAAGGCCGTCACACCCTGCAAAAGCCAAAGTTTTCCTTGCATGAATTCTCATCAGTCTGTGTATATATATATATATGGTACCCCCCCGCCCCGGAATCCACGCCTTTAGTCTACGTATGTCTGGTATG